ATTAGAATTGACAGAATATAGTTGGATGAACACAAAATATCTTTTATAATACGACAATTTCAGACGCTTTTCACGTGCCATTTATTTTTGCGTTGATTTGCATCGGGCAGGAGTATTTTGTCAATGCCTATCTAATATATCAGGCCACACTCTGCCTGTTGGGACAAGGCATTGGTAGGTGCCTAAATGTGTATTTTTTTACAATTAGCTAACCTCAGGATGGTCCAAGTGTGGCAAGGGTTCCTGTCCAAATTGTGGTTTGCAATATATAGTTGCCGTTACAAGCCACCAAGTTGTTCAGGATGCAATTTTGAGCTTGGAGGATCATATGTCCCTAAAAAAAAGCCTCGTCCATTGGTGCCTAAGTGTACCTTGGTGGTGCAGCCATCAGACGGGTTATCAATCTACTCGGTTAATACCAGTACCCATGATGATCGATGTATTGTGGTTCGTGAAGAGGCTTCATCTATGTGTCAGCATCACCTGTGTAAACAGAATAGAGCCATTCATATTAACAGCCAAAAAGTGGCAAGCTTTAGTTGTCAGCATTTGGAATCCACCAGAGATTGTACAACTCCTCTTCAGACATTCAATGGGATATCAGATGAGGTCATTTCCAGTTATCTCTGTGATGATGAAACAAAAAAAACCCTGGCAGAAGTGGCAAATGCATCAAAGGCACAGTCATTTCCAGTTGTGTGTGCATGTTTCTCCAACTATGTATTGCGTCTTTGGAATGGCAACCACAAACAACACTGTTGGATATTGCCATGTCAAGGTAACTGAAAAGGAAATTAAATGCTGTTCCAAAGACTGCAAAGGTATGTTGAAGAGCAAGCAGCAAAAGTCCCGAAAAGTTTGCACCCACATCCATCTTTTATTGGCTCTTGGCATTTTTACACACAACGAATGTGTGTCAGCAGACCTTCCCCCCCAATAGTGCCAGACAGTTCCTTGACAACAATTGACAGAAGGGGGAGCAAGTCTCGCAAGGCAACCATGGGACTTAAAATGAAGTTAAAGTTGCCATATGTCATTCCAAAACCCATTATTCAGGCAGCAGGTAAAATGGATTTTTCCGGGTGGCCAGAGCAGTTTGAACCAGACCAAACTTTGTGTGATTTGTGTAAAAGTCCTCTTGGTCAGTCCAAGCCACACCCAAATCAACGTGGGCGATCAATCATAATGACCAATGGATGTCCATTCAAAACAGTCAAAATGCTAGTCAAAGATTGCTCATGTTGCTTTGCTATGCACCAAGTGTTTCCCTACACATTAGGTAAGTATATACAGTTCAATATTTTTTTGTAGTATAGTAATTCTATGTTGACAGGTGAGTTTCTATTTCACAGTGTACATGTTGGCTCAGGGACAAAGGTTAATTTGATTCAATTTTATTGCCTTTTAGGTCTGTTTAATATTAGTGACAAGGTTCTGGTGGCACTTGAAATTCTATTAGACTTCCGAGAATTGTTCAAAAGAGGAGTGCCAATTTCTGTAGCCATAAAAAGTAAATTAGCTGTGATGGTCCAGAAAGTTGAGGTAATTTCAAGATGATTGTGTATGTACTATGCAATAGTATGCTGTACAACTGCCTAGAATCTGTCAGTGTCAGATTAGTCTTAGTATTTACAATAGGACTAGTCTAATAAATTGGCAAATCGTCTGGTATGGGAATTTGTTAAGGCCCTGTTAAACGATGCAATTTTTCTTGAAACTTGCAACTCCACTCTTGACTGATGTAACATTGGCAAAGTGTGACTTCACGAATTAAAATCTCTCAAGAGTAGCATTGCATTGCAAGTTGCAAAAAAAATTGCACTGTGTAACAGGACCTTTAGTCTTGCTCTAAATATTAACAAAGTATCCTGTTGTATTTATTAAGGAATCGCCAACAGAAAATGAGTTGGAAAGTATTGCTACACATTTGTACAATGGGTTTTATTGCTTTGAGGCAATAACTGAACGCAATATGGATTCAGGTGTTTGTGGAATTTGTGGTACTGTTGGTGAAGTGTATTTTGGGGATAGGAATGAAAAAAATTGCTGCAGCATTAGCGAGGTAAAGCATTCATGGACCAGAATGCCACATGAGAATTTTAGTAACATTTTGGTCTTTAGTAGTGTTCAATTATTAGAATGTCCTTGCTGGTCTTTAGCCTGTTCTCAGATCCCTCTGATTTGCCAGGGCTTCTTACACAAAATATTCGCATTTTCATTGTAGATTGATTACTCACCACTACAAGATATAGATTGTGAGGAAGATGATCCTATTTCCTTTGAGATTTCTTGGAGAAATTAAAATACAATTTGGTGGAAAAGACAACCTACACACGATCGGAAAAGGCCACTATCACTTTTCCACCATTCCACCAGTCATAGCCCCATCATTGAGAGGTACAAAATTGTTCAACACTGAAGGGGAAAAAAAGTGCTTTTCTCAAGCAATATGGCAAACCTAATAAGGTTTGTAGCATTACTCATAGTACAATTTAGCCATTCAATTAAAATAATAAATGCAATATATAATACAGCTTGTTTGTGACCATGAATGGTTATTTGGACCAGAATTGATTTTTTAAGTGAATTTAATTATGCATCTGTTGCACAGGTGATCCAGCTCTTTTGCATCATTGGATATCCACTCAAGTAGTTGACATGAACACAATTGAGCAATGCAGTGTCGAGAAGCTAAAAGAACTTTGTCATTTGTGTAATATAGCAATTTCAGGCAAATCAAAGGTATTTACTGTAATTTACGATTGTGACTTGGTATTAATTTGCACGAAATAACTTGCATTTTATTTCTTCGCGTCAGGCAAGAATGCTCATTGATTTGCGGTCATTGTATGAAACCTTGCTGGTTGGTTCATGTCCTTGCCATGGCTTCACAAAAGTGCCAGGGCATACTGGTGGTTTCTACCACATTGTTTGTCGCCATGGCGTAAGTATAGAAATATTTCACCTGCAATGCAACTCTACTTTTGAGACATGTAAATTACAAAGTACAACTTATTTCGTATTGTTCTCTCAGCATATCGAACATCTTCACTGACACTAATTAACATCTCTCAAGAGCAGAATTGCATTGCAAGTTGCGAGAAAAGTTGCACCCTGTAACAGGGCATTTATCATCTTGTTTTCTTAGACAACCGTAGCCCTAGTCTTAGACGTATACAGTGTATACCATTTAGAGCATTTATAAAATTTACATTTATAGAATTTTTACTCTGGGTGTTCTAAAAAATAATCCTTTTGGGTGTCCTTTCCTTTCAGGTAACCGCAGCTTCAAAGTTTCTGACTTTACAGGAGTCAGTAAGACATGCTGCCGATCTCTATTTATCATTTAAGCATATTCCTCTTGTTTTTCTTTGCGACACGGCTTGTGGGTTTGTCAGGCACTTAGAGTGCCGGGTCAGTAAAGAAATGACCGAACAGCTATGGAAAGATAACAGAAGGGTTTTGAGGTACCATCGTTGGATAAACCACCATCAAAGGTATCGTTTACGAAAAATCTACATATTACTGGTGTATTGTGCACATTCATTGCCCTGCAACATTTTTGTTCAGTCAAGGCTAACTTAAGATATGACTGGAAAACAGTTTAGAATATTCTGAAAACCCATAAAATGGAACAAATAAATTATTAATTTTGTCGTCATGACACTTCTAGGAAATGAGTGTCCCTATGCTGACAACAGCAGAATACAGAAAAAGTGACAATGATATGATACAGGTGGAGGATGGTAGCATGATTCATCCATTGACAGGCACATCCAGGAGATATGTTTTAGGTGACAGATTTCACACAGCAAGCAATCCTCACAAGTCACCCCTTTGTGAATATCACAACATAAATCTTTTGTCTCAGTCGAACACGATAAAAACAAGCTATCAAGAGTCCGAAAACAACCGAAAGAATGTGCGACGGTTACGAAGCTCGACAATGCAAAATTTTCCACACACTATTTTTATAACTTTTTGATGGATTTCTATCAAAATGAGGAAATAGTAAAAAAGCAACACGACGTAGCTTCGAGACAGCTAAAACCTGGGCAGATGTTATGCAGGAATTCATATATGCAATTTGTGATAAAAGATGGTGAAAAATAAGCATTAGGGTTATTACTCATCGCGCGCTTGTTGTTACGTTGGGTAGGTGGAGCTCATCAGTCTTGGAAGACAGTCCACCTAGGAGAAGGAAAACTCTGATTTAAAACCCCCGGACTCGTGCAATAAATGGGTCAGGCTGTCCATGTCGGATTCATTGATGCTGCTAATAATTATTGCAATACTTAATGTTTCCTAGGCATGCTGACGAGCCCTGAGATAGGGCAAAACAGCCATTATACACGAATTGTTATACATAGTATTATTTATTGGATCTAGTTTTCATAACTTTTCATATCTTTAGCAAGCAACTGGACGGTTTATTCGTTCTTTAATGTTTTCAATTAAATTATTTTTAGATTTCTGTTTGCAGAAGTCGCACAGCCTATAATGAAAAAAAACAACTTGTTTGAACGTCAATCATATTTATAGGACGTTGAAGTATTAACATTACTGTAAATGTATTGACTTACCACTTTCCTTTAGGTACTCTTTCAATTCCTAGGCACTCCTGATGGTAGTAGCCTTTACCTGGACACTATAGTTATGGTTGAAAAATAAGCAGTTATTGACCGACATTAAGTTTTAAGGAAACTATTAGTGGGATACGAGATGTAGTATCGTTTATTTTACAGATAGTGGAATGAACATAGAAACCTCAACCAGACAACATAAGATTGCTTTTATAAATTTCTCGTACATAAGGTTCTGGGACAAGAAACTCTCGGAACTGAGAAAATATATGCGAGCTTAACTGTTTTACTGCATTTGAGCACAATGCAAAATCGAATCTAGTCTATATGTACTATTTTATACATACGTTCTTTTTGTTTGTGGTTTCACATATCAGCATCATGTCCTCCGATTCTTTATCTCTTTCCTGGAACGATTATGGTATATACATCATTGTATATACATTGTATATACATCGTGCAACTTGCTCTTAATTCAGAACTGCGTGACACAAAGTTCAGAAGTTCTAGCCGGTAAGAGAACTTAGGGGGAAAACTAATGTAAATAAACTGATCAATGATGATAATGTATTTTCCTTTAATGCTGGTATCATGCATGAATAAAAAGGACTTAGACAGGAATTGCACTGGTCCAATATGAATTCGGGGACACGCAAGTTTCCCGTCCGAAAGTTACCGTCTCGTCCAAACAGTGGGAAAATTATGCAGATATTGAAAAATTGTATAAGTACGTCAAGAACTAGATGTATGATTTACCTCTTTGCATGAAACCATTTGTATACTTTAATTTTGCCGGAATTCGGAGGACATGATAATCCACTCGTCCCAGCAGTTGTCCCAACACTTTTATTATCAGATCGTGTAGAGCCTATATGTGATTTAAAAAAAGAAAATATGCTCATCAAAATGTTGATGCAAAAAGTGCATGGATTTGGACAGACACACTTGTTAATCAGAACTTCTTTTACTTACTCCGAGGAAGAACGCCAATAGCACCTTCTGCAAATAATCGCTTTCTGGTGTGCGATTCACCTGTAATTAGTTAAAAGGCATAGACATATTTATGTTATATAATATATATATTATATATACAGTAATTTATATAATCGTACTTGCAAACCACACAAGACACATCGTATATCGTTTACCTCTTGCAGGCATTTCATTTGCTTGCTCGCAGACGTTTTGATCGCCAGTTGCTATTGGGGTTGAATCGGGAATTTTGTCTTGGGAAGTTCTCACGTCTGTTGTATTGTGATCTAAGATAATTGGAAAGAGCAAAATAACGTAAATGAATTGTATGCCGGGCAGCAACAGGTATTGCATTGAGTCAGGTGCACGCAACTGTAGTAACGAGCATAAATATTCGCATGCAAGCTGAATAAGTCAAATAAAACGAACCTATTTCGGGTCTCTTTATTATTTTTTGCGCGACTTCAATGGCCTGTAAATTAATCACAGAAAAACTTGTAACGCTTAAAACTTTATAACATCGTTAAAAAAACATTAAAAAAACTACAAAAGCATCAAAACTCGTTAGTAATTCGTTTTGATAATTTAATATGACATACCCAAGCAAATGTTTTCCTTTTTCTTGGAGTCAGGTTGTTATATCTAGCCTTTGTGTTCGGTGTAAGTTTCTATTTGAATAGCCAAGGATACACCGTGAAACACAGATTAGACAAGTCGTTAAACTGCTCATACAATCTCCTAACTGAGTAAGCCTGCATACCTCTGTAAAACTGAAGTCGAGCTCCTCTTCACTTTCGGTAGGTGTAGTTGTATTTTCGCGATATTGCATGACTTGACTATTTTTAAATGCTATACAAATGTGTTATTAAAGGTTTCAAAAAATTTAATATGCTGATGAAATACTCAAATAGTAATCCTCATCTGATTCTGTTATTTCTGTATACCTTCTAACTTTATCCTCAACTCGTTTTCGAGAGTGTCCAACCTTTCGCAACCTTCGTCCGATATTGTTGTTGCTGGATTGTTCATTTCTTCCATATCACTCTCATTGGGGGCATCATCCCGAATTCCACTGGCTAATGAGTAATATTGTTAGAAAACGATTACATTCAAGATACAAAACAAGCCTAAACTTCGAACCAGAAAGAATTGCATAGAAACTTTATTTAAAACTTTCTTACCATACGCTATCATATGTTGCGTGAATGGCATCAGTTTCCCCAGAGGAATTCGGTACGCTCTTTTCTGGCAAACGTGTTTCCTTTTAATCATTTGCTCCAAGGTGCATTCCCTGTCTTTGCCGAAGTATATCCCTATTGTCCCGGCTCCCGTACAAGCGTACTTTGCAATTCTTTGAATTCCTATTAAAACAAACATTTTGTGAAATGCAGTCACAGCACAGCGGCTTAGACTCCAACACTGTACGTGTTACTCACTGTATGTGAAATATCGACAAAACTGTCGACAGCAGTTGACAGTAGCGCAATGCCTGGAACCTTCATCCCTTCGATGTTGTTGACAGTAACTTTAGGGTGCAGCCATGTAAGAATCTTAAAAGAGATCAGCAAAATCTGTGAATGTTATATCCAAGGAAATCGAACACTGTGTATATGGCGCCATTTAATACTTTATTTTGTCGGAATTTTTTTTATGTAAATAGAAAAATGAAAGAAAACAAACCGGGTCTTTTTCCTCGGCTATCTTTTCAATGATGTAAGCTTCTAGCCTTTGCATTGTTGAACGTATGCTTACTGTCTGCACCTTTAATAACTCGCCGCATGCAAACAATACGTAATCTTTGGTGTTCGCTTGGTTACCACACGAGAGACGTAACTAGAATGAGAAACATAAGTCATTTAAAAATGAACTCTATTATTGAAAACTAGTCCGATCTATTTTTTGCGAGTTATTTGAGTTTCACATACCAGAGCATTTGCGACAAGTACCGCGGCAATACCAGACAACCACCTTGCCTGCACCTTCAGGTCGTTTTCATCGAAGATCGCTTGGACGACCTCTTCGACAATTTCACGCGCATGTTCAAAAACCTCAGCCCATAACTCCAGGTATTTAATTGCCCAGACAAGCAAAATACCCTATATAACAATGACATATTGGTCATGGATTTTGAAGGTATAGTAGCCTAAAATAACTTATGATTAAGTTGAAGTACACGACGTTTACATTTCCATATAGACTAAAATATACCTTGTTTTCTTGCATGAACTCTCGCATAACCTTCAGTTGCTTGTCGTTAAACTTGGCTTGTTCATTCCGTTCCTTGTTCCAGCTCACGTAATTAAACCTAATAACTCTCCCTACTAATCTACAATGAAACAGATTTCGAAGGTTAATGTTAATAACGTAATTTCAGTTTAAGAATTAAAAGACAATTCATTAATAATTGCATAAGTGTACTACCGGGAAACTTCGGGAGAATTCGTCGATATTAACGTGGCGGCCTTGATGGATGTCATCCCCACCTTATTTGATCCAGACATCAGTCGCCCTTGTGCTTGCAGCAGAAACTCGTTAAAGTTAACATTGGGTTTAGGGTCATCAATCATTATGACCCCAGTCGTTCTCGATGCTATCTCTTGCATTTTCTTTCTAATTAAAATAATTGAAGTCTGCTTTTCAAACATTTGCGAAAAAATTCTTTTATACACAACGTATAATTTTAACGTGAAACTCACGTAGATGTCCACATGTCTGGGAGTCTCCACCACTTAGTAACATTACGTGCAATCGATTGGGAATTCCAACACCCCGAGCAAGGAGATTTAGACTCTCCGATTTCCCTATGCTCCTTTCTTCGGAGAATATCATGCCAATAGAACTCTCTCCTAAATGACGAAGACGTTAAAAACAAAGGTAACTATGAGAAAAAAATTGAAACATGGTAATACTGTCTATGGTAGTACTGTACAGTGAAGTTATTTACGTCTTTCACTTTCCGCGATTGAGCTACCTGTTCATTCAAACAGTAACTTACTCCAAACATCTTCAGGATTGAGAGCATTCCTCAGCAACCGAGCAACAGTGAACGCTGTTGCCAGCAAAAATGAGTCCATATTAGGGCCCAAGCATTGCGAAAGTAGTATGAACCTTACAAAAAAATGAATATATAATTAAAAAATTATTTGGTATAATCGTTTATGTAGTCCAAGTGACACTTGAAATAGTTGGCCAAAAAAGTCTAGTAGTGCGCTGTAGATGTTTCGTAGCCCAAAAACACCGCATTTTTACCTTGCAACAGAACGATTCAACTTTGCGTAATCGTTCAGTAAGCTTTCGTTAATTTGCAATTGGTGGTTTTTTAAAGACTTGTCCAATATTAGATACTTATGATCAATTGGATCTAACACTTTACCATTCTCAATATGCACCTGTAATAATTGAAATTGAATAATTAAATAAACTAATAAAGAGAACGTTCCCAGTGGCTAAACAAAATGCTTTCAGTTGGAGAAGGGATATAAACTAAACGCAAACTTTAGAAATCAACAGATCTCAATATTCTAGTTTTGGTTGTTTCGTTTTAGAATAGTTATGTTTTTCTTTCAAATGCACAACTAGGTAAATATCTATACAAGCGTAATACAACATACATCATTGGAAATAATCCAGTAGTTATTCCCTTGGTATCCCATGAAACGCGTTTCATGGAAAACCCTTTTGTTCTCCTGTTGGGAGAAGTCTTCTTTCAGGTAGCAGGCGTACGAATGGACGACAGCTGACGTCACGTGCGGCCCCAATAAGAACGTTCCTTCTCCATAAGCAGCTCTTAATGAGTCAATGAAACGTTGCTTGGAGTCGAAACAATTGACGTTCAATACGATAAGTCTGAAAAAATAACCAGATGGCACATGCAATTGTATCGTTCGCGTAGTCTTTGAAAGCTATCTACTTCTAAACTATTCATAAGAACATGTTTATACTTAAAAATCCGGCACATTATAATTAATCCTCGGAAATAAGAAGAAATTGGCAGAAATTGGTCAAAACGTGAGCACTGGAAAACTAATTTTTATAGAGAACTGAGCGAAATTTTCTTTCGAGAAAAAGGCGATCAAAACTTTTGCGGGTATTTTAGTGATGCCAGATTTTTCCACCTCCTACTTCTGTAAGCCTGTTCCTTACGCCTTTGCTAATTGCTGTTTGTGTTTTTTTATTAATCTTAAGGTGTGAAAATAATTTCATTTAATATCAAAGCAAAAAAAGTATATTATCAAATATTACTTTTGTATCCCGATACATATTTTATGTGTATCTATATAGGTGCCATGATAATGTGCCCTAATTATCACACATGCCGCTGCATCGGAAACGCATTGTGAAATTAGTATGGACAATGACGCGGTTGTTTAGAGCCTATATTCATTGTGTAAACTGGCTATATACGATGATGTGCATATTTAAAATACATTTCGTTTAGCGTCTAGTTTATTCCAATTGAGTAACTGTTAATCGTATACATCTAATATCGTATGTATGGAAATGCACAAGTCTGCGCAAGGACACAACAGGACCATTTTCATACTAAAAACAAGAAACCACCCGGTACTTTAATGAGTTGCGAAGAACTCGTATAAAAATCCCATTTACAATAAGCTTATGTTGGCCTAGGTTTACACTTTTGCCTTATTGTAGCGGCAGTTTGCGAACAAATTTACTGTTCTTATTCATTCGAATCGTTTGTGACGT